ATCCACAACAAATGTAGTTATGTAGGGTTTGGCCTATGTACTGCAAGTTTTGTGGTGTGATCTCTAGATAGTGGTGGGGGGAGGGAGGAAAGCTGGGTATTTGCACTAGATGTTCACCTCTGAACACCTGCAATTGTGGCACGGTGGAACTTGATGACCCAAATGGCTTCTCAAAGCCTTTGTAACTTTAATTATTTTAAAACTGCTTTTTGCAGTACTAACCAGGAACTAACCATAGGTTTAATGTGTTTGTATAATTTACAAGGACATTACAACCTATCAGTCAGAGGATCTTCTACTGGTGGGCAATGACTCCTTCACTGAATTCAGTGACAGTCTAATGAATATTTAACACAACCAAATTCTTCAGCTTTTCAAGGAATGTTTTGAAGCTCTTCATCTGCAAATTCTGAACATGGATATTTCTAAAATATACTGAAGAGTCTTATGAAAGATAACATAGAAAAGTATGTCCAGGTATGTTATCTGTCAATAAACACCTGCAAAACATCCAACAGCATCCACAGTTTCACTGGCAATCCTTTGAGGTCCCTAAATTGAAAAGCAGCAAAGAACTAACACTTTCAGCAAAGGATAACTCAAAATGAGAAACAGAACTTTATTATCCTGCAATTCAGAACTTTTTTTTCCTTAAGTCACAGAGTGTTCTTCACTGGAGTATATTCAGCATTTATACCTGAGACTGCAGAGGAATTTGCTTTTAGGGCTACATGCCTGTGGATTTAACCACATCTGACTGGCTTCTTTATTTTTCTAGAATTTTGCCCATGAATGGACCAATCTGAATGCTTGGGATTTCTGAAAGCCTAGATAACCTGGGTGTCCCTGTGCAAACAAACTTTAGGACATACATACACGTGCTGGCTCGGGCACCCAGGATGGGCACTGGCTGGATGCACTGGCCGTGCTGGATGCACTGGCTGTGCTGGGCACACACAGACCAGATGGCACAGGGTGGCACCTGCTCAGGGTGGCTGATCCCTCCCTGAGGCACTGGGTTTACTGTGCAGGGCAGGTTACCCCTGCAGCTCCTGGGTGTCCAAAGCACATACGCCACACTGTAGGTGTGCTGAGCAGGAAAGCCTGGGCAGAAACATGAGAGTTGCAGTTTGTGACATTGAATGGGCCTAATAAATATTGTAGGGAAGGAAATGCATTCAGCTAGAAGCATAATTAAATACTGGTTTTGCCTTAAAGAGCCCGACAATACCACTATTTTTTTCTAGATACTTTCCATATTAGTTAATAAGGTTGCATCTAAAACCAGTAACTCAACATTAAATACACCTTCGAAGGAGTAAGAAGAACTTTTAACAGAGATATAACACAAATGCACACCATGGTGTGTCACGGCACGTACCAAAGGAGCTCCCACAGTGAATGACCATTCAGTAGCTGTAGAGTAACCCAGACACCATGATGCAAAATCTATCTTTTCCTCTTACTAGGAGGGAAAATCCCATGGGGAGATGTTTCATTTAATTCTACCTGCTCACCACTAGCTCTTTGTAAACGTTCTCACTTGATCAAGAGAATACCTATCTTACCATGGATTTTAGGACACTCCAGTCCTCACGTACATGTTGATGATGTGCATCCAACAGCAAGCAGCTACAAGATGTATTCACTGGTGACTGTGTATAATGCAAACAAGCGTTTGGCTCCCTCTGCACTGTCATGCTTATGAGGCTGCTGACTTAGTATTTAGTTTATAATAATGTGGTTTATATTTGTTCTACTTGCATTTGGTATTTAAGCTAATAGTGTTCTTCCTCCAGAGGATTGTAGCATAAGGGAAACAATGAAACAGTTACAAACTCTACATCTATTCTGGTTTTTGTGGGTGTGAAATAAGCTATCCCATGAATATTGATGCCAAAACACCTACAAATACTGGATTCATCTCCAATGCACTGCATTTGTGGAGGATACTCCAGCCTCCAGTCCAATTAAAAATGCAGAAGATTGCAATTGCTAGCACCCTCTGCCATCTCTGATTACTGCCCTGAACAGCAAAGGTCAGCACATTACACCTGATCAGCCCAGGAGGTTAGAACCCTGCCTGGAGCCTGAAATGAAGGGAGGTTTCAAACCAACCTGAAAGGGATGGGGTAACATCAGGTGACCTCAGAGTACTTTGCAGAGAAAGCAATCCCATCAAACAAGAACACAAAAAGGTGTCAAGGGTCTGGGAAACAGATGTGCTCCCCAGCAAGCTGTTTGGTCTGCCCTTAGGACTGGACTTGATCTCACAATCCTACTAAGCCCTGATGCAAGTGGTGTATGGGAGACACAACTTCCCTGGAGTAAGAGTAGTGGACCTTGGAGCAAAATGGCTACAAAGGGATTGCTTTAGAGGACAGCAGTGCACCTCTCTGAATGCACACAGCACCCAGGGCCCACACACTGCCCTGTGCATATGAGGCAACACAGGTGATGATGGTGCTCCCACCACTTTGTGAGCTGTCTCCTGCCAAAGCCCTTAGCAAAGCAGCTGACCAACAGCACCCACAGAGATGGGAATACATGGGAGCTGCAAGCAGACCTCTGTGCTTGTGGCACATTGTGCTCTGATGGCAAGAGAAGCCTTCAAGTGGAAAGGGGAATGTACATGGTGTAGACACTGATTCCTATTGTGTACTTAGTTCTCTGTCTTTCCTGTGCTGAAGGGTGCACGCCACCAAATTGTAAGCGGAGAGAACAAATGTGTCAAAGGCACTGATGGGGGTGACTTAAGCAAAGGGCTGCTGCGACAGGAAGGCAGTGATGTGCCTGGGAAGGATCAGCCTCACAGCCTGTTTGCAGACTGCTTGCCAGACACTGCACACTTTTAAATCAACAAAGAGCATAAAAGTGCACCAGAGTATTTCGCTGCTCTCTTACAGTCACCTTTCTGCAGGTCTCCTCTGACTCATCTGACTTGGCAACACAGAGATTAATTTCTAACTTTCAGACTCGATTGTTGTGTTAACTGCTGCCCTACAAAGATCACAGGAATGCCCTGGGTTTCCCTCAATTTCTGATGTGAAGAACAGTACTGCTTCCTTTGCTCTTGCAGCCAGGACCATTTGTTAGTGATACACAGAGTTAAAAAATCGAGACCAAACTATCAGCCCATTTTCAAATGACTATCCTGGGCAATAACCTTCCACCCAGCTCTGCATGGCTAAGCCCATGTCTGTATCCTGGAAACAGAGATAATATTGATACTCCCACAGCTCAGGTAAAACACAGGTTGTCTTTCTTCCTGCTTCTTGTTTATCCAATCCACAGGAAAGAAAAAAAAAGAAGATGCAATGATGAGAAGTTTTGGATACTAGGAACTGAGAGAACCACAACTTCTGCCTATCCCCTTGAGCTGCTGTAGAGGAATCAGTTTACCAGGGACCATACTCCCAGAAGGCAGTTTCAGGGTAAAAGGAGGCATTGTACAAATACTATCACTCTGGAAAGATGGAGCATTAATTTTCTCCCACCCTGAAGTTTATGCGAGAGCCACAAACTGGCTAATGATTCTTTCCCCCTAATGCTCTCCTTGCACCAGCACCTCAGCCAGCCTGTGCAGAGGGGAACAGCACAGTGGCCTGAAAAGCTGATCACTGCCTTTTGCAGGACAGCACTTATCCACCACATGGCTTGCCACGGAGAAGAAGATCACCATGTGTGATAGCCCCATGATCCTGGCAGGCTGTAGCCCTGTGAGGAAACACTTTTGGCCAATCTCCCTCTCTGGAGGGGCTGAAAGGATGTCAGGGTTGCCAGTCTGTGAGCAGCAGGAGCCCAGGCTGGGACACACGGAGGCGGGAGCCCAGGCAAGATTCCAGCAGGGGGGAAACACTAGCAAGAGAAGGGAAGAGAGAAGACTAAACAGGCAAGGGCATAAATGCGTGTGTATGGAAGAGACGGGTGTTCGGGAGGGGTCAAAGTGAAGTCACAGCAAATGCTTGGTGCCTCCTCACTGCGTTAGCCTGGCTGCTCCCAGAGAAACCAGAGTGTGGCTGCCTGTGACTGGAGCGGTGGCAGGCGCAGGGAAAGGACATGCCTCCAGAAAAGGAGATAGAAATGAATCCCAATTACTGGATACTGTCTGTATCCTGTAACGAGCTAAACAGAGAGGGGGATGAGCAAGGGCAAAAGAAGCAACCTTCAAACTGCGTCTGTGCCTTTGCTAAGCGAACGTCTCCACTATTCATGTGAGTATTCACCACTCCTTACTGAGTCATATTACCTCTCTCTTTAAAAAGCCACCAGAGTTAACATAGCGCTCACATACCACTGTGAAAATCCTGTACCTGCTATTGTAGGTACAGGACCTATTATTAGCAAGGCATTATTATCTGTCATTTGGATTGTAAACTGTCTTACTGTGAGCTAGCTCATGTGGATTGCTCTGCATCAAGCTCCTAACCCTGCCACAGCTACTCTTCCGTAAATTTCCATGTGGACACACTAATTTTGAGATCAGAATCCAAGGAGGATTTAATGAAGCTCAGCAGTACTCCAGGATGTGTACAGTGCCTCCCATCACGGAGCCAAACCTCCATCAGGACTTGCGCCCACTACAGGCAGAGAATAATTGCATTGGCAGGTCTGAGCAGGGAGAGGAGGCTGAGGCGCTGGAGAAGGAGTTTCAGTGCCTGTGCTGCGAGGGGTGTGAACCAGATCCTCCTCTCGGCTCCTCTGCATACAACAAACTTGTACCACCCGCCTCCCCACGTTCTTCAACCAGAGGGATCCTAAGACTGCCAGGAAGGCAGGGCTGGAGTGAGCAGGGGGCATTGCAACTGCAATTGTCAACCCCCAGCTTTGGAGAATGACTAAGCTTGGAGCTGCTCAAGCAAGACCAAAGCCAATGACACTGCATGTGGAGAAACAGGGGCACAAAATGGGAGGATCCTCTCCTCACCCTGATGCCTGAGCAAAGGGAAGCGAGTTTAGCAAGACAGACAGCAGTTGCTACAAAGGGGAATGTTTCTTACAGTCACTGTGCACAGCATAGGGAGGCAGCAGGCTGATGGGGGAGAGATCATCTTCAGGTCCCTCTACCACTGAAGGGGACCCCTTGGGAGGCGTCTTACCGGTGGGCAGGGGCAAGGTGGAGACCGTGTTGAGCAGCACCACGCAGACAGCCACAACATCCCATAACTTCATCTTAGATCTCCTTCCAACACGGGCCCCTGGCAGAAAGGAGAGGCAGGGTTAGCTCCCAGCTGCTATGTTCCCCAGTCCTGCCCCAGCCCTGAGACAAAGCAGAGCAGTCTTGCACCCCAGATCACACTGGGTCACCCAGACCAGGCCTGGATGGAACAACAACTGCTCCTCATGCAGCCAGAGGAGTGAGGTGGGCTCTCCCCAGCCAGTGAGTGGTGTGGGAGAGGGAGGCACAGGATGGCCTCCAGTCCCTTTATGCCGAGAAAGCTGCACTGGGGAAGGCAGGCATGCAGGCCCCACGAGTCTGTCTGACAGAAAGTGTGACCATGGCCCTGTGCTCACTGGCAGGCAGGGTCACCTTGTGCTTGTCAAGCACCTGGGCAGCACCAGGGCACTTGTTCTCAGGCAGGTCCGGGGAGGACTGGGCTGATCTGGGTTGCTGGTCTGTGCAGACTTGATGTGCTACAAGCAAACCTTCCTTTCCCTTTCCCTCTCTTCCCCTTCCCTCTTTTCTCTCTCTTATTCCCTTTCTTCTTCCCCCCACCCTTTCCCTTCCACTATCCAGTCCTCCCCTTGCTCTTAATTTTTTCTCTCCTTTTTCCTTTCATCTTCACTTGTCACCTTTTTTTCTTATACTCCTCCTTTTCCCCATTCTTTCCTCTCTCCCTATTGTCTTCCTCTTTTCTTCCTATTTCCCTTCCCCCTTACTTAAAGATTTCCTTTTTTTCCTTCCACTTTCATTTTTCCTTTCCTCTTTGTTTCCATCTCCCTTTAATTTTCCTCTTCCCTTCCCATTTCCCACTCCTTGTATTCTTCTCCTCCCCTAGTCTTTCTTTCATTCTCTCTTTTTCTTTTTTTTTCACCGATCCTCATTCTTTTCCGTTCTCTTCCCTTCTCCCCTTCCCTTCCCTTGTGCCTTTTCCTTTTCTTCTCCTCGTTCCGCGGCCGCCCTGCCCGAAGTCTGCCACGGCACGTACCCGCTGCCCTCTGCCCGCCGCCCGGGGGTAGCAGCTGCCCCCGGCCCGGTTCGGCTGGCCCGGGCGGCGGCACAGGGCAGTGTCCGGCCCGGGAGGAGCAGCCCCGCCGGGAGGACCCGCGGAGGTCCCGGTCCAGCGGCGGGGCTTAGGGCGCGGCTGCCGCTCGGTGCGCGCCTTCTCCGCCGGCCGCTGCCTTCGCACCTCGCCGTGTCCGGGGAGCTGCGGGGCGCCCCGGAGACAGTGCCCGCCCGCCCCGCCCTGCCCCCGCGCACCCATCCTCGCCCTCACCTCTGAGCTGGTCTCGTCGGACCCGAGATGGACATTAACGCCGCGGAGTCGACCAGCCGGCCGGACGATTCATGTGGGCAGCTCGGGGTCCGACTGCCGGCACCCTCTTTGCTCAGAGGAGGGGGGAAGGGGGACTCGTACGGAGGAGGAGGGGGTGTAAGGTCGCAGGTCTGGATGGAGGCAGCGGGGAGCCGGCAGCACAGTCCCCGGCGGCCTCCCCCGCCGCCGCCGCAGGTGCTGTGCCCGCGGCAGGAGCGGCGCCGCGGGGCTCTCTGCCCGCCCCGGCCCCGGGGCCGCGCTCAGCAGCGGCGGGAGCGGCCCGAGCCGCGGGGAGCGCCGCCTGGCAGCGGGAGCTGGCGCTGGGTGCTGCGCTTGGGACCCTGCCTGGAAATCTGAGAAAGACACTCCATCAACAACTGCGGGGAGTCAGATGAAGACATCAGCGCTCCTGTAACGCCAGCGCGTCCAGCACTGCCGGGAGCCGCGCACCGCTCGGACACGCACACCACGGCGGGAGAAAAAGAAAAAAAAAAAAAAAGAAAAAAAGAATACCAAGAAAAACCCCACCCCAGCGGAGGAAGGAAGGGGAAAACGATTAAAAAAATAAAAATCTAACCACCCCCCCCTCAGCCTGCTGTGAGAATCAGAGGCCGGCACTGGGATTTGTAGAGCCGGTAGCAGCAGCAGCAGCAGCAGCGAGGCTTCCTCCTCCAGAGCGGGGTCCCGTCGCGGCGAAAGCTTAGATCCAAGCGGGAGCGCGGCGGGAAGCTGGGCCGGTGTCGGGAGCGCCCGCTCCGGCTGGGCCTGGGCGCGCCGGGCTCCCCGGGCGCCGGCGGGGCTGGGTGGGGGCGCGGGGCTGGGCGAGGCGCGGGGGGCGCCGCACCCGCGGACGGAGTGAGCGCGGAGCCGGACGTGCGGACGCGGGGGCTTTGCCAGGGCGACTCGGCGCCGCAGATGGATTTATAGGGCCCTTTGGCAGTGACGCGCCCTCCGCTGATTCGCTTTCAGACCCAAACACACGCTGGCCCCCCGCACCGGACCCCGCGGAGCCTCCAAATATCTCCCGGCTGAAGTCACCGGCCCGACATACCGTGGGCTGCGCGGCCGCCGGCGCAGCCCCGCGGCACCCGCTGGCCCCGCGGCGGCGGCGGCGGGGCCGGGCCGGGGTAACCCAACACCGCGTCCCTCCCCAGCGCCGCTCGCCGCGCTCGCGCGGACGGACGGACGGACTGACGGACCGACCGACGGCTGGCGGCGGCGGGGAGGCCGCCCCCTCCTCGCCCCTCGCCGGCCGCAGGTGCCGCCAGCGCCGCGAGTCCCCCGCGGAAGCCGCAGTGCGGGGCGCGGGATGCGGAACCTCCGCGCAGCCCGGCCCCGGCGCGGGGGGTGGTGGTGCTGGTTTGACTCGCCGAAGGCCGCGGCAAAGTCGCTGTAAACAGTGTCGACTTTCAGCCCTGCGCCGTGTATTTATGACTCACGCAGTTGTCCGGAGGTATGAGATCCTCATGTCTCCGGTGCTGCGGAATTAGCGCGGCGGGCGGCTGGGCAGCGCAGGGTTTGTGCGGGCGGTCCGGAGACCGCTGCCTCCGCCTCGCGCGGCTTCTCTTTTAAAATAGTCTTTGCTTCTGGATATTTAATTGTTGTGGGGGGGAAGGCACTCGGGTATGGATGGAGAAGCGAAACCCGCAGGAGACCAGGTCGGTCCCGGAGCCCCCGCGCCGAGCACCGGAGCTGCGGGACGGAGGGACCCGCGCTGGGCATGGCCGGGCCGGGCCGCCCCTAAAGCTGACACCTGGCTGCGGGTTTGTTTCGTACGCCCTCCAGCCCAGGTGTGCGTATGTGTGTGGGTGCGGCTGTGCGTTCATACGTGTGCGCACCGGCTCGTCTCTCTCCCCGGGGAAGGGCAGCAGCCCCCAGGCCGTCCCTTCGGTGACCGCCGCCCGTCCCGGACCCCGCGGGCACGGCTGCCTGATGCAGCGACGGCGGCCAGAGCGGACCCCCGGGCGAGGGAAGGTCCGGCAGGGCGGGGACAGGGGGGAGAGGGGCGCCGAGCCCCGTCCGGACACTGCCGCCGTCAGCGGCACCGTGGGCTGCCTATCCCGGCTCTGCCCAATCGCCTGCGCCACCTCGTCTGCTGTACGCGACTTTCCCTCTTCCCATTCCCCCGCCTAAGTCCCAGGCCCTGCAGGGAGAGGATGCAGGAGGCAAGTGAGACCAGCTCCTGGTGCGTGCCCTAGGCTTTGTGCACAGCCCATCCCGCGCCACTTGCACCCTCCCTGCTGTCCTTGTCTAGGGAATGGGGTGAGGACCGTGCGTGTGGGCTCCAGAGCCAAGTGCGGGCACGCCAACAGCCCTTGTTTGCTCTCCATCAGTCTGAAATGTACATAACCCTCCAAGCTCTTAGTGTTGAAGGAGATCTCAGGCCAGGGGCTGTAGCGCAGTAGAGGGGGTCACAATCAACTCACTAGGTAGAATGGGAATGAGAATCAATCCCTGTGAGAAGGTTTTTGAGATGTTCATTGGAAATTTGGAGGGGTCTGCTGAATGATGTCTGGATAGGCTGCCAGGACAAATATTTCTGAAGATGGCATCTTCTAAATTTCTGTTGGATGCCAAAACAGAGAGACAAAACCAAAATTTCTTGTGAAGCCCTTTGGGCAGCATGGCTTTTCCATCACTGCAGTCATCTGTCTGCTGAGGGGAAATTTCACAACTATCTTCTGCTAAATGAGGCATTTGTGATGAAGTGGTCAGCCTTTCTTGGGACCATGTCCCCATATCTGCAGAAGCAACAGATTTGTGACTCAGAAATAATGTCTGAAAGAATTAGATCTTGTTTTAACTTCAGGATTTTTTTTTTCCTAATTGTGCCACTTGAAGAAAGAGTAATTTGCATGAAAGAGATTTCTTCCTAGTATAGGAGAGTAAAATACTCCCCAAAGTGATCTGCTTTAGAAATATTAAACAGCATTATACATAAATGTAAATGTTCGCTTAAAAGTAATTTTGATTTTCTTAAGTACAGACAATCTAGTAATAGGTGCCTGGAATAAAAGTTCCTGAAGTACAGCCTCTTTGCAGGCAGCAAGTGGGACAATGAGAGAACAATCTGTTGAGAAGAAACAGATTGAAAAGGGTATATGGTATCTGTACAATAAAGACACAGGCATCTGATAAATGCATCTGTTTCTGTGTGTGTGCACCCCAGAGGGGATGGGAGAAGGCGTTACAAGAAGCAGTGCTTGGTTTGGCTCAGCGATACTGTTTCAGGTTGTGCTACCTCCCTCACAAAATTATTGAGGTTGTGAGATGGGTGCTGGATGGAAGCACAGCATGCACCGACTGCTCTGCGCACAAAAAGCTTTTCCTGGCTCCCACCCTGAGCAGAGCAGAGGGATGGATACAACGTGGTGCCTCCATTAAAGGTTGGGGACTTTAGCATGCTGAAACGAACGCCTTGGTTACGCCGTTTGTGGTGACACAGAGTCCTAGTATTTTAAGTGGAGGATCATTAACTGAAACTTTACTGCACATATTGGACAAAATGAGCTCAACACATTATTCTTTTGCATGTGTTTTGTCAGTGCAAAGCCACTAATTTTCTTTAAATAACAGAAGGTAATGAAACCAAGACAGAGATTGTCCATCTATAATACTGCAGGAGTTTATTTTTCCTTGCTATTAAAAGCTGCTGAAAGCCCATTTTTTAGCTTATGTGTTATTTAGCTCATGTGA